GGTGAAAACTGTCTAAAGTGCAATGTTTGAACATTTTGCTAGAAAACTTGCATTTAGACTTTTTGGATTTACTTCTAATGACAAGGAGCCACTACTAGCTGAAACACCATGTACAACATCAAAAAGTTCACCTATTTCTCTTAAGGATGAATTAAACGCACTTCTTAATAAAGATAGCATATTAATCTACTGATCAATTCAAATGGCTTAAACAAGAGTTTTTGTTGTACCAAAATATGTGCAAAAGAACAGAAAGTCTTGAAAAAATTTACAATGCGATACTCTCTATAAAGCCCACCTCAACAGATGTCAAACGCATTTTTCCAACCAGTTTCTGCACAAAAATCAGATCACAATCATCTGATAAACCATTAAAATCTTAAGTTTTTTTAATACATTTTTACAATAAAAATAAGTCATTGTAAGTTTTATTTTGAAATATAAACATGTTAGAACACTTTGTTTAAATAACTTTTTTAATAAGCAATGCAAGAAAAACTTACACAAGTTTTATTATTTAACAAGAAAAACCACATTAACCGCAGATTTTTTAAAGTTAAAACCGAAACCACGTTTTTTTATTAATGCGGTTCTTAAATAATAGAAGTGACAAAAACTTTATTTTACAAATTTTGATTAGTTTTTAATTTAAAATTTATATATAGTTTTTCTATTTTAAAACCTCCTAAAATATTAATATTCATGAATGTTTATCCAGGCTTATTGATATTAAATATTGTTTTCTACAGATATCATGGTAGTAAATAAGCAATAATTAAAATAAGAGAAAAATTTAATCAAATGATTAAAATAATAATTTTTGATCGATTAGATCATTGACATGTTAATAGGAGCAAGATCAGGATCAAGCACGATCATCTTTTAACAAATTTTTAATTTTGTCACCTCTGGTCACAAATAAATTAGTAAAAAAAATTATGAAACACAGTAAGCACAGTAAGCACAGTAAGCAGTAAGTTTGCATCTTGTATTTATCTTTAAAAAACAAGAGTTGGGAGCTATATTTTTTTGGAAAGAGCCACAGATTTAAAAAAACACTTTAGATTAAAAAAAAAAGCTAGAACAGTTAGAAAACTGTGTTGCATCTGGGAACTAGTTGGTAATGGTATTACCAGTTTTCCTGAAAATCAATTTTTTATTACATAAAATATATAATGGAAAATTTGATCCACTTGATTTATACATTTTACATATTGTTAAATCTTAGTGACCCAAGTGTTCGCAGTTTAGTGCAATCATTTTAATAAACCTCTATTCCGTGTACAATTATAACAAAGATGAGCTGCCATGGAACTTGGAAACATACAACACATTACATGACAGAGAATGATATATGCCTCACAAGTATTATTTTGCCTCACAAATTTTATTTTATTCAAACAGAGCTTGTTAAACAGCATTTTAACATTATGATTTGTCTCTGGTACATCTGGTACCAGTGCTAAAATAATGCTTTCACAGATCTTGAAATTTGATGACTTAATATACCCATTTATTTCCTTTGATTTGAAAAAATATTCAAACAAACCAAAATGATTTATATTAAATGACATTTGTTAAATATATAGATAAAAACAAAAGTGGCACATTCAAAAATCAAATTACCTTAAAAAATCCTTAACCTACATCATGGATTTCTATTAATGGGGGTTCAACAAATTTTTTTTTTAGTAACGCTTTTTTTTATCTATTTATTTGCCACAGAAACTCATTTAACTTCTGTTATTCTGATAAATGGAATGAGCTTAAAGAAATTTTTTTCTGGATTTAGTATTAAAAAAAACAACAACAAAAAAAAAAAAAACATGTTGCTGGTAAATAAGTGTGAGCTCTAATACTAACCTTAAAAATTAAAATTGTACTTGATTGTACAATTTTTTTGTTTAGTGTTTTAAATCTCAAAACTTTTAGGTAGTTTTAGCATTTTTCTGTTAATTCTAAAGTTGATTGCATGTCAAACTTACTATTTATAGACAGATGTTGTATACTGTTATTATTATCTATTGAGAGTTGTTTTATATTGTTATTATTATTTATAGACAGTTGTTGTATATTGTTATTATCATTTATAGACAGCTGTTGTATATTGTTATAATCTATCTAATTAAAAAAAAAATTATTGGTAATTGTTTTTCTAATTAATCATAATTAACAAGTACTTGTTAATAATTAAATATTTTTAAATAACAACTGTAAAAAAAAAATAAAACAAAACCATCGTTATCCATATTTAGCCATCTAGAAAAATTAATTTTCTGACTAAAGGTCCTAGTTTGTCAACATAAAAGAATGTATGGTATAGAGGAGGGGGATATAACGCCCCTTTATGCACACACATGCCACCCCTTATACACTGACCCTGAGTAATGCAGACTTGTAATTCAGGCAACCTCTTTATTGAGTCTGTAAAAAACAGGTTTTAGACTTTGTTTTCAATCCCTTGCATTAGCCTCTTGGCCAAAAAAACGTAGTTACGTTTGTAAATTAACTTTACCTAAATAAATATTTGTGATATACTATTGCGGCAGAAAGTAAGTATACACCCTACCCAAATCGTAAAAATAATAGTTTAATGTGGTACTTCTTATTTTTAGAAACATAATAGAAGCAACTATTGCATTCTGTGAATTTACTTAATCAATATTCTTTGCACTTCCTGTTTACAATAGCAAGTGTGACTCATGTTGTGTACTAAAAATTAAACTTTAAAGAGTTAACTTTGTATTGTTTAATTGTGCAAATTTTGAAGACAAGGTTAGTAATTGTTTTACAATGTTATAGTATTGTTATTATAATTAAGTTTTTAATAACAATTAACAAATAACTTTTTTTTATTGTCCTAAAATCTTTCAAAATGGTTCTGACCAGTTTTGACTTTAGGCCAAGTCATTAATAAATTATTATTATCCATTGTTGAGATGCATGTTGGGTTTTAGAGAATTTTTAGTTACAATTTGTTAGTTTAAGCTTATACTGATTAATTAATGTCTTTGGTTTTTCATTATTCATATTTGGCCATTTGTCTGATATATTTTGTGTAATTATTCATTTTTATATTTGAAGGTATGCCCAAATATTGTCGACTGACAACAGAAAAAAGACTTCGCGCAGTGTTCTTGGCAGAAACAGGTGCAAGTTTAAGAAAAATAGCCAGAGAACTTAAAGCAACACCAATGGGTATTAAGAAAATAATAGATAAACATATCGAAACTGGTTCAACAGCTGATAAGAGGCGATCTGGAAGACCAAAGAAAACAACTCCACACACTGACAGAGTGTTAGTTCGAATGTCCTTGCAGGATTGTAGACTCACTGCCCCTCAACTCGGTCAAAAACTTTCTGAAGAACATGGGGTTACTCTGGCAACTCAAACTGTACGTCAGCGCCTTCTGAAAGCAGGTCCTCATGGATGTGTGGCTGCAAAGAAGCCACTCCTTTCAGCTACAAACATTCGTCGACAATTGGCATTTGCCAAAGCACACAAAGACTTGACAGTAGATGATTGGAAACATGTCCTGTTCAGTGATGAAAGTTCTTTCAAGTTGTTCCTTAGTTCCAAACGATTAATTGTGCGAAGAAGAGTTGGTGAAAAATTCAGTAAAAACTGTATTGCGCCAACTGTCAAGCATGGAGGAAAGAGTTTAATGATTTGGGGGTGTATGTCTGGCTATGGGCTTGGGCACCCTTATTGATGTACTGGAAGTATGAACCAACACCAGTACATTGATGTACTACAAAACACAATGTTTCCTTCTGCTAGTGCACTGTTTGGGCAACTTAACTCGTTCTTCTTTCAGCATGACAATGCACCATGCCACAAGGCCAAGACTGTCACAGATTTTCTTTGGCGTAATCAGGTGGCAGTACTTGATTGGCCTGCTCAGAGCCCGGACATGAATCCGATTGAAAATTTGTGGAGCGTTATGGCAAAGAACATTGAAGGAAAGAGACCATCTAACTTGGATAGTCTCTGGTTAATTTTGCAAGATGCATGGAACAATATTGATGATGTTACAATTACTCGCCTGTTTGAGTCAATGCCAAACTGTATGAAACATGTTATTAAAGCGCGAGGTTACCATACTAAATATTGATCAAACTGCATGTTCTTGATACAGAGTGTTGTTTTTGATGATTCTGATAAATAAAAATTGTGTTTGCAACAATTTACAGTGTTTTTAATTGCTTAAAATAATAAATGTATGCAAAACTCAATGGTGTATACTTACTTTATGCCGCTATAGTATATATATATATATATATATATATATATATATATATATATATATATATATATATATATATATATATATATATATATATATATATATATATATATATATATATATATATATATATATATATATATATATATATATATATATATATATATATGATATATATATATATATATATATATATATATATATATATATATATATATATATATATATATATATATATATATATATATATATATATATATATATATATATATATATATATATATATATATATATATATACATTTTGTTCTCTTTTTATTAAATGCTTTCTTTTTTTCTCATTTTTCAGTTCTACAATTATTTTTTTTTAGTTATCGTGCTGATGAAACATAGTTTTAATTTAGTTTTAATTTTGCTGATGAAACTTGTTAAATTTATGAAAGGTTTTAATTTAGTAATTATTCATTATTCAAAAATTACTTTATCAATTATTTAAGTTTACATCAACATTTTATTTAATGCCTTTTTTTATTACTTTATTTCTACCTTCATAATTGAAAAATGATAAAATTATGTACTGCATCTTCTTGTATGTACTGCTTGTTTGAATTGAATATTTACTTGTTGTTATATGATTTTATATTATATATATTAAATATTAAATATAGTAATAATATTACTGCATAAAACATATATTTATATTATGTTTTGTTGCTTTAAACATTAACAAAAACACTCTTCAACAAATGAGTACCTTGTGAGCAGCCTTGCCCATAATCCACTTGGTATGTATGTTAGTAAGTATTGTCGACGAAAAATATTTTTTAAACATGCACTTAAATTCATGGGATTTTTCAACAAGGAAGATTGGTTTTCAGCAACAATAATGCATTCTTTTTGCTTTTCAGGCAAACCAGATGGAATTAGTAAATACTTATGCTGTATTTTTATAGCAACATCAAACTTATTCAGAAGTTCAACATACTTAGGTACCATGGATGAAGGAAACAGACGATCGCCACGAAAGATTTGGTTTTTTAGATCACTGATTTTTAGTAAGCCTAAAAATAACTTTTAAAAATAAAACCACAAAATAATACAAAATTTATAAAGATAAATAAGTATTTTAAGGTTAAAAAAAAACAAAACAAAAAAAAACAACATTATTTATGACTATTACTTAAAAAACTTGATAAACAATTTTTAAGATTGTTAGCAAAATAAGCAAAGATTTTCAGCAAAAAAAACATTTCCATTTAAGTTAAGATCAATATCCTTGTAATAATATAAAACTGAACTATTTTTAAAAATAGAGTTAAATTAAAAAAAAAAGACTGAAGAGCAAATTAGTCATTATTGCTATTAGTTTGATCATTAGAAAAAAAGCTAATATACATAAAACAATTTAATTAAACAAAATTCTATAATAAGACATGCCATAAGGGCTTTGGAAGGCCTTAAAAAGTGGCTTATAGATTTAAAAATGTTTGACACTTCAACCATATTAATGAGCTAGTTAGTTTATAATGTTTAAATTTATAAGTTTATTATGTTCAGGATTAATACAGATTTATTCAAACAAAGCAAACAGAATCATTATCAGAAGGATTCTTAAATTTCACTGCTCAATCAACAAAATTCAACTGATCACTCTTAACAAAAACATCATTGAAGAAAGAATTGAGATTAGATTTTTTAAAGAAAATATATTGGTGAAAGTTTTTTGATTTTTTACTAATATATCAACATTAAACATTGAATACCGTTTTTGATACATGGATTCACACTTTTGACAGTAATAATATGGGCTAACATGTCACACAACCATTGCGGATTAATAAAATACAAATCGCTTAAATTGGGATCATCAAAGTGTAACAGAGTACCTAAATACAAAAAAATTTTTTTTTGATACACATAAAAATAAAAATTGTCAACAATCTGTTCAGATGTACAAAAAAACAACAACACCTAAAACATCAAAAAAAACTAAAGTATATACTTTAGAATAAATGCTTACGGTTTTAGCATAAGTTACATACTTTTAAGTAAATGCTTATGGTTTTAACATAAGTTATATACTTTAGAGTAAATGTTTATGGTTTCAGCATATGCAGGGTGTTAGCCAAAATATTGGTTTGGTTATTGGTTTGATATTTACAAAAGTCAAGAAAACCAATGTAAAAAAAAAACTTAGATTTAAAGTGTTATGCTACCATATAGAAATACACACAAAAACTATTTATGTATTTACTAGTACATTTATTTTAGTAATAGTCTATTGTATTAAAGAATCCTTAAATTATGAAAAAATGTGTTGAACACATTACTTTATAGTCACAGTCTTATAGTTATGTATTTTTATAATTATGTATATAATATTCAGTAATTACCACAAAATCAATTGAAAATCGCTCTCTAAAATATTTAATAAAAATCTAAAATAATAAGCACTAAAAATATTCTTAATTCTATTTGGATTTTGCTTTTACTAGCCAGGAAATTTGTATGGCTTTAAAATGCCTGAAAAACGTATTTTATTAAAATAATTAAAAATATCTTTGGTAAACTAGAATGGCAAAGTACATCGAAATAACAACCTAAAAATTAAAAAATGATACATTGTAACAAAACATATCATTTTATGTTGTGTTTGTGTAAAAAATAAAAGGAATATTTAATTTTTATAAATTTTTATAATTTTTTTTAAACTTACAACTATTAAAGTTAAATTTACAAGTACAAAATTCACAAGTACAAAAAATACTTCATGTTGAAATTTAATCCTTAATTTACTTGCTGCCATTTTGGGGTGTACAAATCTCTTTACATCTTTCCCCCCCCCTCCCCTCCTAAGTGTTGTTGTTCATTCTATTTGAATAAATATCTATTTAATTGAAAAAATGTTTCACTTATAAAACTTGGTCTATTCATTCTATTGTTGATTTGTTGAGAAACACTCAGCCAATTTTTTGGATTTGTCTCAGCAAATACAGGAGGACTGACAATTTTATCAGTTTGGCTTTAAAAAATATCTTTTCATACTACTACATAAACTAGTTAATCATTTTTAATTAACATTCACTCTATGATTTATCTAAAAAATAAATGATAATGGAAAAACTTTTAACAAGCAATTTCAAAACTAAAAAAAAAATCATTTTTTTCATAAATTTGTTGTATAAAGTTTACTGAAAAAAATTCTCTTAAATAATTTTGCCTACAGGCTTTTTTATCTCGCAATATAATTATATACAGTTATAAGTGCATTAAGAACTTTTGAATATTAGGACTTTTGTAACAGGATGAAAAAAATTATTTATTCATTTGAAACTATAAATAAATAAACAAAGTAGTTGAATACAAAATGAGCATAATAAATAACTTAAATAAAATTTGACAAAATGTTTATTTTTATTTTCATGAACTTAGTTAAGAAACTTTAAAATTAAAAAAAAAAGTAAAACAGAGCAATTTAATCTTTATTTTAAATTTAAATTAAAATTAGTATAATTATTAGTAATTGCTGCAACTGGTGTGAGCCAGTGAGTGTATTTTTAACACACTAAGACAGCCAATATGTTTGATTGCTGTTTGTCCAGCAATCAAGACCTGCTTTAAAACTGTAAACTGATTGTGCGCTAACAATCTCGCTTGACAAGCTATAAATTGGCTGATCTATTAAAAAGTTTTCACAACATGTTTGATTAGTTTAACATATTTAAGGCACTGACCTATCATATAAGTTTGTTGAAAACAAATTTTTTTGATTGTTTCCAAATTGCTGAAATCGTTAGAGAATTTAAAAAGTTGAGTCATGTCTTGGCCCAACAGTTGGTTGGCTTTTCCCACACATTTTATTACATGATTTTTCCATTTTAGATTGCTTGAGAAGATTACTCCAAGAGCACTTTCAGATTCTTTTGTTTAACTTTTGTTTATTAATAAAAATGGTGATTTTTTGTTATTCCGGCGTGCACAACCATACATTTTGAAATATTATATTTCACAAGCCAGTCTTGAGTAGGGTTTCCAAACGGTTTTAACCAAAAACCACTGTTTTTTCTCAAAACAGATATAAGTAAAAACTGTCTGTTTTCAAAAACGTTTTTGGAGGTTTTTTTGTATAATGTCTTTTGAATGTTTATTTATCATAGAAATGTGTAAAATAATTAAATGTGTAAGTAACTAAATTTTTCTTTTTTTATTTAGATTGTGTTTTGCTGCAAAGCTTAATATGTCTTTTCATTTTCAAAATTATTCAAGTATTCCAAAAAAAAAAATGCTTAAATATCGAATAAAAATCGCAAATATATTCAAATATAAAGTATTCGAATACTCAAATAGGATGGCCTCTTCTTTATATTAAAGATTTTTATTTCTTAAAAAAAAACATACAGATATTTTTAGTGTTCATTTTGGTTCAACAAAGTATTAACATATTTTTTTTGTTTTGTTCTCATCATCTTCACTTCCAGCAAGGCTGCAAGCAACTACTAATTAGTGTTGAAAGTTACTAGAAGAGAAAAGATGAAGATTGTAGAGCAAGATAACAATTGACAGACGACTTAAAAGATTGCAAATTATATGAATCAGGAAAGCAAAATGAAGGAAGCGTAAAGGTACGTAATAAAATATATGTATAGGTTACGTATAGGTACATAATAAAATCAATTCATGATAATGTTTCTATTAATTATTTAATTTTTTTAAAATACATTTATCTTCCAGATAAAACATGTAATCAGTTTGGAAATTTGCTGCCTGGCATAAAATTTGGAATTCAAGAGATGTTAAAGACATCTGTTATAGATGCGGTTCTGTTGTAAAATGTTCCAGTGGATCCACAACTACTTGTGGAATCCTATTTTGAGTGATAGAGTTACTATCAATAGTCCTACAACTGGAGGATCAAACATTAGCTCAAATCTATCGCTGGAAAAAAAGAAAAACCATATACAGTTATTTACAAAAAACAAGTCTTAAAGAAATTGTAGCTGATCTAGCTACAGATGATGTTTTGATTAATACGATAACAACAAATTTATTTGCTCATCGATTTAACAAAAAGTAAGTCATCTACTTAAAAGTCCAACAACTGTGATGAATTTAATCCATCAATGATAAAAAGGAAATGTTGAAACAAGAAATTATTGAAAAAATTCAAATGGGATATGAATTCAGCTTAACGCATGATGAATATACATCTATAAAACTGGCCTCATCAGGATTTATGGTTCCTGTCCAGCTGAAAATTTAATACAAAATATTAAGGAATTGATTTGGTGTCTTTATGAAAAGAGATGTAGTAGGTTCTACTCAACACACCCCCAGCCAGAATTCATGATAACTGTATATAGCTGACCCAGAGAAATGACTGGGTGAAAATGAAAGTTCTTAATGTCAGGATTTCAAAAATAAAAAATTTGAAATCCAACTATTTCGTCTTGGAAAATAAATTGAGTTTTTATTTTTATTATATTTCAGCAACTAGACAAATGACAGGATACCCATTTTTTGCATTTTTACAGCATCAAAAAATTTGAATTTGTGATAATTTTATTTCTTATGTATTCATTCATTTTACAGCACTGGTTTGATAAAAATAAACAATAATACATTCTAACAAAAAGAATGTAACCAAAAAAAATGCAAAACTTTTTTAATTCTTGAAATAAGTCTTCTGCTCCTGTTTCAAAATTGCCTTTAAAGACGCTTGCTGTTAAAGTCAACTATGCATGTTTGAAGTTGCCTTCCATATTCCGTTGATGTAAGTGATGGCCCATAGCTTCTGTCATTTGTTCACTGAAGATTCCCAAAGCAGTATTTTTCTTTTGGATGAAGTTCTTCCCATGAAAAAATACTGCATGCACTTTTGGAGTCACGCTTCCAGATGGCATTGCCATATATGCTTCTCTGAATAAGTCAATTTTTTTAGAGAAATCAGAAGATAATGTGGACCCAAAGCAAGCACTAACCACAGCTTTAAATTTCCGGAAAGTGTTGATAATGGGACAAATATAAATTAAGGACGTTTTCTCTGCAAGATTTTGCAACAAATCCAGGTTCTTCAGAAGCTTGTGACAATCATTTCCAGCAAATTGTCCTCCGTGGAAAGGTTGTTGTTTTATGTGAAGAGCATCTAGCCACTTTTCAGCATGCAGCCATTGACTTCGAGATCGTGAAGAAAAGAAGATTTCCAGATTGTGCAAGGTTATTTGATGGGACATCACACCATGTGCAAGGATGCGATGATGAGTGAGACTAAAGTCCACAGAGGATGTTGGCCAGCTTCAGATTACAAGAAACAACAAAATCCTATAGGTTAAGCTTGATGAGAGAGAGAACATTTTGGACATTCAAATAGGTTTCAGATAAATCTTCAGCAATTGCAATGATAAGCTGATGATTGCAGCCACTATCTTTGGAAAAGTTTGTAGTCAAGTTTTTCTTACATGAAGGAGGATCATCTTCACAAGGCATTTTCTCAATAGCTCCCAGTGTGACTTTCAGAAACCCACCACCAAATCAATGCCAAGTTTTATTAGTGGCTTAGTGAAAACTTTTTGTGACAAAAGAACTTCATTTATCAGTTCTTGCAGATCTTTACAGTGAACTACACGTTTCTTGCCAGTAACTCCATTGCCTTGTTCAGGTAGAATATCTGTTTGATCAAAAAATTTCACATTTGTGTTTGACAATCCAGTATTGATTTGCACTTGAACGAGATCCCCTGCAGTAACTAAGTATTTTGATCCAAGAGTCTTCTTGCACTTGAAGGACGATAAGTAAATATTTTGGCAATTTTATTTAAATTTTACAAGTTGTCACAATTAAAGTTATTGACTTTTCTCAAGAATTGACCGCATTTTTGGCATTGAGAGCTAATAAAATTGAAAACACATTTAATTATACTACAATAAAGTCATTTTTACCTGGGGTGACAGGTAAAGGTCTTCCACCTTTTGCTTGAGCCAGACGAATTGTTCATTGAGGGGAAACGTCTGTGCCAGCTATTGCAGAGGCTGCAATTTGTTGAGCAACTGTGCTGTCATTTGATGCCAAAAGTCTCATATTTTCACAAAACTTAGCTTCAGTGCATACATGAGAAATTCATTTCTCCAGAACCGAGGCATTTGGAACATCTGTGGTCAGAGGTTGAATTTTTATTCACAGCTTTCTCTTCACATGTTGTCATTTTTCTGGCTTTTTCAAGAGGATTGGATTTATTTAGCTTTAGATGCCCAACTTGACATATAATGCAATCACAGATCAGTCCGCTTGCAGGTCGCCTGACATTAATGGTTTCAAAGTCAAAGAGTCTTGGCATGACAACCTCTTTTCTATCAAGTTTTCTGCGCAGTGTTGAACAACATCCTTTACAAATCCCAATTGGCATTCGTTCATTTTCAAAGTTGACCTTTTGTTCAAACAAGCTTGAAATTTCCTGTACCATTGATGGTGAAAATGTCCCTGTACTTTTTTTCAAACACAAGAAACACACAGTTTTCTGGCAATCTTTGTGAGTTTTAGTTTGGTTGGGCATTTTGAAAGACCAAATGATTCCAAAATCGTAAAAATGAGTGGCTCTTTGTTTTGATGTATTGAGAATAGCCCTTTCCTGTAATTTTAACACCAATAACAACGAAAAATCATTTTATGTAAGAAATACAGGTATGCTCTTTTTGCAAAGTCATAAAAACAAAAAAAAAGTTTTGTCATGTAATAATAAAATTATCACTCACTTAAATTTTTTTGTATACTGTAAAAATGCAAAAAATAGTTATGCTGTCATTTGTCTAGTTGCTGTAATATAATAAAAATAAAAACTCATTTTATTTTCCGAGACGAAATAGTTGGATTTCAAAATTTATATTTTTGAAACAAAGACATCAAGGGCTTTCATATGCACCCAGCCATTTCTCTGGGTCAGCTATATGCAGTTATCATGAGTTCTGGCTGGGGGTGAACATGATGCAGCAATCAACAAGAAGCTCGTGTAATTAACAGACATTGTTGATCAGTTTTGCTTTAATCATGCCTTTCATCTTGGTGTATGCAACATGTTATACAAGAAAAATAAAGACACAAACGTACCAGTTCCCAAGGAAACTGATAGTGATTCCCAAGAGGATGAACATGGAATTTACAATGATAATTTT